TTCTGGCATCGGGACGCGATAATTTACATTAATCGAAAAATCGTTATTGATTTAAATATTACTGGTTTTTTTTTCTCCAGTAATCGTCTGATAATACACGTATTTAGTTTTCATTTTGAATTTCAAGCGTAGGTGTTACGTATGTAGTTTATCACTCCAATAAATTCATACTATAATACTATATTGGCAATTAATGTTGACTTAAAATAGATATATATATATATATATAATATAATACACGAACGACTAAATAATTAATTTAAACTGTATTATTTTATCTATATTTTTTTTTCTACAAATGTAATGTTAATGGTCTAGCAGTTGAATCAGAAATTATAAAAAAAAAAAAAATGTCAAGAATAATAAAGAAAAAAAGGCACAATACATCAAATATTATTATTATATTATTACCTATACAAAACTTAATTTTACTATTCATGTTGAATTTATGAACAACTATTTCTAGTATTTCCTGAGGCGTAAAATATTCGAATAAATATTCCAATTTGTACTAAAACCGTTTCACGTTGCAACTCAACGAATGGAAAACAATAATGTTTTAAATAATTTATAACTCCTAAATAATATCTCTCTACTCTCATTTTACGTGTATATAATTTATCACATTTAAAGAAATTCAATATTCAAGAAATACACGTAAGTAAAAATAATAATGAATAATTCATAGGTAAGTTAGAATATTATTTATCTATAACTTATAGGCATATATTGTATTATTGAAATAATTTATTGGTCTTTAACTGAAATGCATCGGTAATAAAAAGTTTAAGCCGAATAAATAGGTATTCTTCGCATACATTTTATGATATCGTACATGATTATTAGAGGAACCTCTCCGAGTATAATAATTGACTCGATATCGCATTGTATAAAAATTATACATGCAAATGTTTAAGTCGATTAGAATTTATGTGCGGATAACTCTCGGAGCTATCTACAGATATATGTATTTAAATGAAAGTTATACGACTCGTACATGTCTTTCAAAAATTGTTTGCATTTCCACTTAGTCTTTCAGCTCGTTATAGCTTTTAATACACGTATTTATATCATAATATCTAAGGGGTCTTGTTAATTCTTTTATAATATCTCCGTTTTATCACCGACAATTAACATTTTAATACGGTGCAGTTCACGTGATCCAATATCGTAATACAAGCATCAGTTGTAAAATATGTCAATATCGTCTTGTTGTTATAAATTATTCTGTAGTACATCATCAAATGGTCGCAATAACTTTTTTACTGTAATTTCTTTCAGAATGAATATTATAATAATAACGTTGCTAGCCGACCACTGCAGTCAAACATATGTGTGTATTGTTGCAGCGGTCTGACGATTATAGTATGATGTACTCGTACATATTTTTGCGCACGTGCAAAAACGTCGTCGAATGTCAAGCAGTCTGCAGGAATCGCATCTCCCTTACGTCCGCCACCGTACGGTGCTGTTTTGCAACGCGCGCTGGCGGTTATATGCCCGTGCAATATTCTCCGACGGGAAAGAATTAAGTTGGTATAATTTATAACCCGTTTAACGGAGGAAAAAAATACAATAATAAAAAGGGTATACGTCGAAAAAAGCACCGAGACAATGGAATAAACGGCGTACGTGCGTATACACACATTTGTGGCGCATGATATATATAATTCATTTAAATAATGATAATAATAATCGCTGTATTATTATATTACACTTGCAGCAACAATGCACCGTACATGCACTTTCTCTCTTTGCGCGCGTATATATCTAACCGTGCATTATACGATCGTAGGTGTCGCACGCGCCTCGACGATATTATTATTATACTTTATCCTTCCGCCCCCGCCGACAACGTACAGCACCCATCACGCTTAGCCTTGACACTGGTATCATAAATATTGTTTACTCGACCCTATCAGCGAGAGCGGCGGTCCGAGCGTACATTGTATATAAATATACGTTTTCACGTCGACCTGACATTGAACAAAACGCATAAATATAGATCAGCGATAAGGAGAATAAAAATAAGAGGTGAAGAACCCCCGCAACAAAAGCGCCTTTTTCGTTTTGTTAAGAGATGCGTTTTGTGGAAAAGAACAAAAAAAAAAAAAAACCGAACCCATATATATGTACTCTCACAGAGCATATGCTTACTTCTCAAAATTCGCAAGTTCTATTCATAATATATAGACTATAAAGCGCTGCGTGTCAATATTATAATAACGAGTCATCGTCTCCTATCGTATCGGAAACTGTGACGGGGGTCACAGCCACACATGACGATGGTAATGTACGAGCGCGTAACACGTAAAATAGGTTCTGCGTATTATAAAACTAGTGTAGAGTGAATCATTTCTACGGGAACCGAAAAATATTATAATCGCTTGAAGATTTTGAAGCTTATTTGTCGGAGTGTTTGATCACGAGAAGATAAAATATTAAGCATTGTTACAGAAGGGTGATGGGAAAATCCCTCTTCTGTAATAACGTATGTTCAGCGTAACTCATATTTATTTTTATTGTATTGTTACTCGACAATTATAAAGTACGAATGAAGTTGTTACAAACTCGCGAGAGTTTATAATATACCCTTCAGGCAATAGGTATTAAATTAGATCCGAGAAGTTTTACCATCGAGAGAGCTATAGAATGTCTAATTACATGCGGCCGTGAAAGTTATCGTTTGAAAATCAAGTGTTCAGGTACATATACATGTTATACGGTTAAAGGGATTAGCGATATTATAATATAGGATTATTTCGCTAAACAACCGTTAAAAACTGTATCTATACAGAGTGATCGGTTCCTACGCTAAAAAAAATCATCCTGTACAGGACGTCTTCCGCGAATAAAATCGTCCAATATATGTTTACGTTCACAACGTGGTATAGGACATGATGGCATGAAGGGGTCGGAGAGAGTATCGCGACGACAATGCGCGGAACCGGTTGTCGTTCGGGCCAGGAAGAGCTGTCGGAATACGCGCATACACACGTACACTGTTATACGATCGCTGCTCGCTGTTAATTTGTATTAATTAGACAGAAAGAAACCCGAACGTGTGTATGTATGTGTGTGTGTGTGTGTCTGTGTGTGTATTCAGTAGTAGTAGAACCAGCAACAGCAGCAGCAGTTAGTAATAAGTAATAGTAGCAGTAGTAGTAGTGTATAATATTATAATTGAGCTCTCTGGCCATTCCCCTCGCGGAACGTAATAATAATAATAATGATAAAAAAAATAATGACGATAATAATTATCACGCGAGCTCGGTATATAGTATTGTATACGGAAAATTGCTACAAATGAATGCGGCTACGAGTGTGCGCGTGAAAACGATGGGCCGCCGCTAACCCTTTCTCCACAGACCAAATATGCACCTATTGATACTAAATTAAATACCAATTATTTTATTTATAATCGTATCAAAAGTAAAATGCGTGTAACGCATGTAATGTGTGTGTACTAAGCCTAAAATCGTGTACACTACGACGCACTTTGTGTGTCGTACAAAAATGATCGTGTACTTATAAAATATGAAGGCGTGTAGCATAGAATAATTTTCGTTGGAATCACCTAAACAGATATTTTACTTAAATCGATTTGCAAAGAGTATTGGAGTACATGCAAAAGATAGGCTTATCCTTAACACTGCAGAATATATCGCTGTAGTGGCGTAATCTGGTCATGTTTGGGCAGGGACGGGTTTTATCTCTAACCAAGGGAGAGGCTAATGGAGGCTTAAGAATTTAGTTAGTTGGTTTTTTAAATCTATATAAAATTTTAAATTACATAATATGTTTTTGAGTCCCTCATAAGTAAATCATTTTTTTCACAATAATGATAAAGTTAAAATAGTTACATTATTGATTTCAATTTTAATCTGAAACCATTTTAAAATATAAATAAATACATATAATTAACAACAAAAGTGAACTATTTATTTATAAAAAATATATATAAAATAGGTACCATATTCATCAATGACCATTGACGATATTTTATTATAATTATTAGTATATAATAAAACTTTGCTTTGTAAAATAGATAGCTTAGTCCCTAGGGACTTTGCTAATGCCCCCTTAGCCACCCTCTTAAGCCCGCCCGTGTGTTTGGGAGGAGTGAATGAGACCTAACTAGCCTAACCTGAGTATACATAACATATTAAAACTAATATGTAGGTAATTATAAATAAATTATTAAAATTAATTGTTGTGATAAATCATTACCATTTATTATAGTAGATGCCAAATCAGATCTTGTTTAACTGTGAATAACAACAAATTGAAGAAAACATTCATTTAACACATTGTTATTGTACATAAAACGAACGCATGACAGTTGTTCTTTTGTAGCAATATCTGTTGTTTCATTATCTAAAACTGCAAATCCCTCAGTAGCATTTACTTTCCCAACTATTTCTTTTAAAGTTAATTGATCACAAATATAAATAATTTCATTTTGCATCTTTGGTGATCATAGGTGCAACTAGGGGTGTGCAATAGGGTTTTTAGCACCTCTGAGTTCAAATGTAGTACTCCTGTTTTTTTTTTTTTTTTTTTTGGATCTATATAATTTATAGAAGTTACAGTTAAATACCATTTAATTTTATTTTCGGCAGTTTTAGCACCCCCAATATTTGAGCTCTAGTTGCACCCATGTTGGTGATATGTATTTTTAACCCTTTTCTTCTTCAAGAATATTGTTTAAGAAAGCATCACCGTGGGATCTATATTTAAATATTTCCTGAAAATTACTTTATTTTTCAAATTCTACAATAATAAAAATCAAGTTAATGAAATATAATATCCACTAATAAATTAAAATATCATTGACTCAACCACACAATATTATCAAAATAGAAAATACTATACATATTACCAAGTTCCAATAGTTACCATTTAGTTTTCTAGAATCGCGATGTCTTCTTAATGCAATTTCTTTTCGTTTACGTAATACTATTCATTCAACTACTGGAATCAGACGACTTGTATTCAATTTAATTTATTTCTAATTTCTCAGTTATGGAAACTTTACGACCAAGTATAGACAAAAAATGGTCAGCAACTAATTTAGATGCTAAATAATACTTCAGTTGGAAATTATTTCGAAACGTCTAAAATTAAAGAGAATATGTAATTCTACTATTAAATACAAAAAATATAGTAGTTTTTAAAGTGCGTATTGTTGTTATATAATTAATCTATAAAATATGTTTATAAAAGATATTAATAATAATTAAAATAATAAATACATAAAAATAATTTAACACCTCTTTTGCTTTTTTCCAATTTGTAAAAGCAGTTGAAACAAGTTGCCCCAGAGGCTGGCTACCAACTCCGCTATATTTAGCAAATAACAAACAATACTTATAAAAAACTCCTTGTTTAATCTCTGAGTAAGCAAGCCAATTAAATTCTGTAGACCATTTATATTGATATTTCAGACCTTTTTCTTTATATTTTACCAACAATGGAAACTCATAACTTACATTTGATACCCACACATTTCTAAGCACCTATAATATATTAAGATTAAAGCAAATAATCAAAATATCTAGTATTTAATAGAATATTTAATATAGATAAAGGACTGCAATATTGCATAATAAAATGTAGATGATATTTGTTAATGGCTTGTGAAATAATAAAATAATAGATTTTGTATGCAAGATAGCTTAATATAGCCGATTATACTGCGATAATTAATTTACAAGCTTTTTATCAGCATCAGTAAGCGTGCAATTAGCTAAAAGCCCTATATAATTTGATCTAAAATGAGTTTCCAATTCATCATCAATAATTTCATCCTGAGGAAAAATAACAATAATCGGGATTCAGGTTTTTTTATATTATTTCTATAGAATATATTGTAGTAGGTGGTCCATTTATTATATATACTAGTATTAAAATAAGTACTCAAATATGTAAGACGATTAAAAAAAAAAGGCCATGAGGGAGGGTTAGGATACCCAAATCCTCCCATAATTATGCTATAGTATCACAGGCTACAACAGACTTGCCAGATGTACCATTATAATGGTATTCATACCATATTTTTACACATTGTACCGTATACCATAATAAATTATATGGTACGCGGAAAGTACCATAATTAATTTAAATTAAAAATTGAATGCTTGGTATCATCTTTTTTCTATGCTTGGTAAACAAGCAATACACACGTAGGCCGTCCATAGTATTATCCATGGTATTGTTCTGTGGTATTGTGTTTTTATGATCTAAGTTAAACTCAGTGTATGTAACAGTGGTTCATTTTATGCTAATAAAATTTACGTTATAAGTATTATCACTTATCAATCATAATTCATTACTTTTGTTTTAAAACTAGTTTAAGTTTATTGTTATTTTTTTAAATTATTTTTTTATCTGTTAATTAGGTGTTAGTAGATACCTTCTGATTACAATTTCAATAAAATTAAACAAATTGAGCCGGGAGACTTTTTACTTGGTTATTAGTATAGTTATTACTGGTGAATAAAAATTAACGAATAAAAAGTGTGATTGATGTTGATCAAATTATTTGATTTGAATTGCTAGAAATTTTTTTATGTACCATATTACTGTGCAAAGTACCATATTTTTTAAAGTTGGTACCATTTTATCAATTTTGCGGTGTGGCAAGGTTGGGCTACAAACATTTATCTCGAATTTAGTGTACGGTACAAAAAATTGCAAATCTTAATCCTTGGTGTGTGCGCGTCTAACGCATCAAGCTCGTATAATCACGAGCATTGTGCAGCAAACAACAAACGGTTCTCCACACTGTCTGTGAAGAAATGACGGCGGCTCGCGTTGACGCGCGAAAGCGATAATGTACGGTTGTATTACATTTTTTAATATTGTCGCTTTTATCTTAGATAATTAATGTGGTCCGTTTAACGAATCGTTTTGAAAGATGTGCGAGCGATTCGAGTTTACCGCAGCAGTGCGAACGTATGCTTACGTAATACGTGGGTTTATTGTGTGTGTGTGTGTATGTGTATGGCGACGGTGGTCTAGACGGAAACATAATATAACTTCAATATATTATGAGATGATGATTGTAAAATCTTACTGATTTCAGATAGCATTTTCATAATTTTTCTCTTTTGTCGCGCATTTCTCCATTACACTTTTTTTTTCGACTCTTGGACATTCGTCATGCGTCTTAATGTCACCATTGATATCTCTTCATTTTCACACGTTATGTTGGTTGCAAGATTTACATTTATCGCTCAACTGCTCGTACATCGGGCTATTTAATATAGTATTGATATATCAAAGATTCTTAAGATTTATTTTCCTTCGAAATACGTAATTATTAATGATTAATGATAACTGATTTATTCTCTTCCAGAGAACTAGAAACCATTAACAGAGTTAATTAAAATATATTCTTCAGAATCTAAAAAACTGTAAACGTGTTTTTCTAAAATCTTTTTCGGACCCAACTGTGCTGCATATATACACACATATCTGTGAAGTTTTGATGTGTACATTATTATAACACAAAAAATGTTCCATTTACCAGGGATGACTCTTAATATTATATTACAGTTGGTTCTGTTTTCACTTGCATTATTTAAAACCAGTTCGACTGTTGACGTTTGGCGTGTTATTCATTTAATCTTCCTATAATTTATACATGTATACTGGCACCGACAATTTATTTATTAAGCGTTTTATTTTTCATCGTACTCGGCCAAAATATTAACTATTTATTTTCGCATTAATGCGCGTATTTAAATACAAATAGCGGATAAGTGGTTAAGATTTTTTCAAGCGACTTTTCGTCGTCGACGATGTCATATGGACAACTTTTTTTTTATGTATCCATTGTTTTGATAGTATATTCGTTTAAAGGAATTTATATTGTTAACGTCCATTTCTCGGAACACAAATAATTGTAAAATACCAAATTTCAGAAATAAATCATTCAAGTGGTTTAATAGCATTTCGGAGCTTGAATCGTTACAATAACATAACTTATTATTATATTTTTACTTCTATATTGATTGTGTTTACGGGTTTTTCGTTATGCCGTACGAATAATTTTTTTTAACAAATCACGGCAATATTTCAACGCTTAGCCTTAATAAAAATCAAAATGAAAAAAAAATCAAAGAAAACCAAAAAAAAAAAAAACAATTATTTTACCCCAATCATTATTATTATTGAAATACACGTGGATTTTTGTTTTCGCGAGCACGGAAATCAATGGTAATTAATAATAATAATAATAATAATAATAATAATAATAATGCTGATGATTCGTTCGGAAACTCTGCCGATGCCTGCCGCCATATAATCTTATGACACGTCCGGCGCAACTGGGTTTCCACGCTCTGATAAGCGACACCGTACAGTTCTAGTTCATTAAACCGTTGTTGGAAATCCTCTCATACATACAACACATACATACACAGTAGGCGCCATTGTGTCCGATTTTTTCTCACTATTTTCGATTTCCCTCTTGACGAGAAATAAACACGTCCATTATCTTATTATCGTGGCTGTTGTCACAATATAGTGAACACGACGCGTGGACTTTGCACGAAACCGAGAGTATTCGTTCAGTCCATTCATACATTCATCACACATAGTGGGTTATAGAGCAACATATCATTACATTATACAGAGCATTCCATCGTATACATACAATATATTATATTTTACGCTAATGACTTAAAAATTCTCGTCTCGCATAGCTATACACACACACACACACACACACACACACATTTTTATTCTACTCCAGATTAGACTGCTGCAGTTATGGTGTTATAAGCGGAAGGATAAGTTTTTTTTCTACCTTCTTTCTTACATGTATAAATACATACATAAATACATGAATGATATATAATACATAAGTATTATATATCATACATGTATTTATATAGTGAACCCCCGCCTTTGCGCATTGCTGCAGTGCGCCGGATGATGATCTCTTAAACCCCTGTACGTTAACAACGACAGCGTCCTACATGACTTCTCCATATTGTTTTACATAATAAAATATAAAATACGTTGACCTTTGTTGTTGTGCGCCTTGTGTGTGTTTGGTTCGTTTATTTATATACTTGTCTTTGTTCATGTATATCTATATCTATACGCGACCGGCCACGACAAATAGCAAACGGTGCTGCTGCTGCATAACATTGTTGAAAACCTGATTTTCAAACTCCGCACATTATTCCGCCCCGTTTTTAATCTCACGCGGCTAATCCGTCTTAACGTCGTACTTACCATGTATTTCTGCTAGCACCCGAGGAGATCGGACACTACTGACTGACGTCGATTCCGCGTGTGCACCTATTTTACAATACAATGGATCCGCTAATTCGCGGTGTTTGATGAAACCCGATCGCGATGTTATAAATGCGATTTTTCTGTACCGCCACCACATCGCACGTGTCTCATTTTAATCTGATATCGTGTTTGTTTTAAATAATATATATATATATTATATGCCACGCGTTGTCCCCGCACTTAAATGCTTTTATCAAAAAAGTAACTCATCGGAGAACAAGCTATAATATAATATAATTGCTTGTCCTTGTATTGCTGTAACACGTTAACCGATATCGTTTTTAATTGTTGTACCGTGAAAAGTTATTGGTCGAGTATAACCCGTGGTGTTGCTATGTTTTTTCGGATGAGTTATCTTCTCGTTTAATTCGATTTGAGTATGATTTCTCAGTGAGCTATTAGTACATGCATATTGGGTATTGTTTTTACATGTTATGTTATGTTGAGATTAACGTGTTTGTGTGTTTAATATTTTTTGGTCGTACACCACCGGATTATAAGATAATTTTACCTAGTAGCTAAAATCGATTATTACACTCGTATATTATATAATTTTACGTGGAATTTTCTAAAACCACATTTATGGCTTTGGTTTTTATATGAAGTGAAATCAGAAATTTTTTCTCTATTTTGGATCGTATTTGATACGATATAAAAATCGTATTGTTTTTTAAAAAAAAAAAATAAAAATAAAATATACGCAATAAAAAAAAACGAATTAGAAGACGGCTTAGCTGGCACACGTCTACACGCGTTCCACGATACGTTTTCTTAAATATTCTCAAACCTTCTGGTCTTTGCCATCACACTACACTCGTTGGATGTATACATATATGCGCGAACGTGTTATTACTCCGTATTATACACGTATACGACCAATGAGTTATTGAGAAATCAATAGAGTATTCATTATTGCACAGTAGGTGCTTATAAATATGCTGAATACTTATATACATATGTGTGTGTGTGTGTGCGTTTTCAATTCCATCAATATACGTTCGGAAGATACCCGTTCGGACGAGATATTTGTGGAGGACGTTAAAACAGGTCGTCGGCACGATGACGTTCGACAGTCGTTGCAGGGAGACTTGTTGCGCGCGCATCGCTGTGTAGGACAATCAGTAGCCGTTAAAAGACTGCAGTCCAGTATGTGCAATGCTAATGCGATGATATTGGTTTTTTCGTATTTCTCCTTCCCCCACCCAACTTCATCCGCGTCAAAACTTCTCGATGCGATCGACAGCACAGCGGATTATAATAATGTTTTGTCAATTTAATTATACATACCTAAACACGTGTGTATATAATATAGCATGTGGTATAATATTTAAACGATTTGTAAACTTCTCGCGAAGAAAATAACCAGACGTAGGAGCACGTGTCCGCGGCGGCGGAGGAAGGTCAAGGAAGACCGGGCCGTACTCGTCTGAGATTGCCCTACAGCATTATGTGAGATAACACCGAGTATAGGGAGATTAATCATGTACACGCACGCGTGTTTGTGAGAGAGAAACGCGAAAGGTTTACGGCATGAATCCATCGATATTCCTGTTGAAACGACTAAATTGAGTCATCTTTTTCCGCCGAACTTCTTTCTTCGCGGTTGGGCTCGCGTATACACGTCGTTGTGTGTTTGTATTGTTGAACTACGCGTATATTATAATACATAGTTTCGTCCGTGTGTACTTATTATCCATTATAATATACTGTTCTTGTTACGTCCGTTCGACCGTGAACGACTGGTCCATTTTTGGA